TGATATACTATTTCCATTCATGTATTTCTTTTAAAATTTGACTCCTCCACAAAATGAGACATGAAAAGCATTATTGTTATGCAGGGGGCGTGTCAGGGGTGGGAAAAGTTACCTGAGAATGGAATCAACACTATCAGATCCCAAAGTTGGGAGCCCTGGCCCTTTTCAATGGGGGTGGATTTTGTCAAATGCTTTTCCCATGCCAGCTGATACCTGTCATAGGACTTTTCTTCATTAGCCTGTTTACATGGTAGATTACATTGATTGATATTTGAATGTTGAACCAGCCTTGCATATATAGAATAAATTCCACTTGGTCATGGCATATGCTTCTTTTTATACATTGTCAGATTAAGTTTAATTTTTTTTTTTTAGAGATTTTTGCATCTAAATTCTTGAGAAATTTTGGTCAGTAGTTTTATTTTTATGCTGTTTTTGTCTGGTTTTGGTGTCAGAGTAATACTGGTTTTATAAAATAAACTGTAAAGTGTTCCTTCTCCTATTTTCTGAAAGAGATTGTGTAAAAATGCCATTAATTTCCTTAAATGTTTGGTAGATATTTCCAATTAAATCATCTGGGCCTGGAGATTCTTTGTTAGAAGAATTTAAACTACAAATTGGATTTAACTGTTTCTTTAAAAGACTAATCAGATTTTCTAGCTCATTTTCGGTGTTTTATGGTTTTCCTCTTTGAGAAATTTACAGAGTATAAAGTATTTTATACTCAGGATTTAACTATAGACTTGTTAATCATGAATTTAAACCTTTTCTGAATACACTGTTGGGGAGGTTGGTTTGTTTTTCCTTCTTCCACCCTAAATCTCTGATTTTATTGGTTAAACTAGGGGCCCAGTGCACAAATTCCTGTACCTTGAAAGGGATGGTAAGCCACAAGGTTGCTGTGGGCACAAGGGCAGGTCCAGGCCCCTACCAACACCGTCCCCAGAACCACTCTCTGCCTGCAGCCCCACAGTCCCTGGCCCCGCTCCCACCTGCTGACACTGATGGCATGGAGCAATTGGAGCTGGCACCAGCAGTGGATGCAACCAGGGCTGGCATGGTCAGCGTCAGCAGGTGCGGGCTGCGGCTCTGGCACCAGCAGCAGGTGCGAACTGGGCAATCGCCAGCAGCAGATGCAAGAGGCAGCTGCTGGCCCTGATCGCCCCTTAGGAGCAGGGCAAGGTGGAGAAGCCCTCAGGGGCGATCGGGGCCAACAGCCATTGCTTGCACCCATTGATGGCGCCAAGCCATCTGGACCAGCGCAAGGTGCCAGCAGCAGTTGCAAGCTGTGGCTCTGGTGCCTGCAGTGGGTGAAAGCAGGGCTGGCACCAGCAGCAGGTGCAAGTGCCGGGCAGGACCACGGTACACAGGAGCAAAGAATTTCAGTAACCACCAGAGGCTCGCCCCAATGACAGCAACCAGCACCCCACCTTGGTCTGGCGCCCCTGCTCACCTGCTCCACCATCCCGCTGCAGCTGATGCCCGCCATGTTCCACACACACACCCTGTTGGTCAGCATATAGAATAGTCATTCAGTTGTTTGCCAGTCTATTTGCATATTAGGGGTTTCTATATATAGATAGATAGATATAGATTTGCAGATTAAAGTAAATGATTCAATTTTTATGCTACCAAAATCCCAAGATTATAACAAGTGTTTTACTTGAAATCATATATGGAATCTAGAAAGTAAAAACCTTCTTCAATAAAGTATTTAATACTTCAAATTTGTATTTTTATGTTTATAGCTGAATTGGTCAGGGATAATATGGAAGACACAAATTAAGTATTTTGAATAGGAGATTTGGGGCAGGGAATTGATTATAGAAATAGTAAAAAAAAAAAAAAAAAAAGGGAAAGGGCAGAGAGGCAATTATAAAGTAATTCAAATATTAATAATCGCAAGAAAATAATTTCTCCATTCCATCCTGCTGCAGAACAAGAGGGAAGACATGTTAGAAAAACCTGGTTGACGAGGAGAATGCGTGGCTGGTGCCTGGACCTCCGAAGTGTTGTGTGGCTGTGCTCAGGGTTCTGGGGGCTTTAGGGGCTGGAATGCCCGAGTGCACTGGACACCAATCTGTCCAGTGATAACTACAGAACAAGAGGGACAAGCAGTCAGTGGCGCAGTAACCATTTCAGAGAAGACATCAAGAGCCACTGTTGACGACATAAACCTGAAATAACATATTACAGAATTCACAACAAAGATATAGATGGACAAGAGGTAATTCAGCTGGAAAGTTACAACTTAAAAGTGAATGCAGATGGTGACTGATACTCATCATCAGGAAACTACAGATTGAGCCCAGGGCCTGGTACATGTGTGGGTTGGGTAATTCAGGTTACTTTTGGAATAATATTGCAAATAGAAATAGCAGAATAAATCATGCCTTCAGATGATGAGCATTTAAGGAAACGCATACTATACCCATTTTACATACCTCGTATCCAGGAATATTTCCTTTTATGTCTTTGGGTTGTTTGGAAGAATGTCTTTTTTTTGTGGTCTTTGTTTTGTAGAGTATAGTGGGTAGCTAGCTTAGTGTCTGCAGCAATAACACTGCAAACTGCACTACATCAAATTCACTTCATTTATAATGCTTCTGAGTAAAGTTAGAGAAAAACATAAAATCTTATTTCCTTTACAGCAAGTAAAAAATTTCAGACTGAGTGTAATAGGATACCCAACGGGACAAAAAGGCTGGTTGTTTGCACTGACGGGTAATAAAAGCTGTCTTTTATCTTGTTAGAGGTTCTTGACCATAGTTCCACAACACTCCCCCTTCTAAGGACAACCGGAGACTGTTCCACCGGACTGTGCTGCTTTCACTTGAGAATCGTTTCCTGGGAGCTCTGGGTGAACTTGTCATAGCATTACACAGAGCACCCGTCACTTCCTCTTTGAATTGAAACCAAGTGCTGCTCTCTGCCGAGTGGAAATTAGCAGTGCATTCAGTGTGCTATCTAAAAAAAGATCCATTATTAACTCTATTCCTTTAGAAAACATAGGTCTGAAGCAAAAACAAAAATTAGTTTTGCCTATTATAATTAAGTCACAATAACCTTCCCATGATTTGGGACTGACATGTGTTTTTCATTATAGAAATTCAAAATGATACCACTTAATGCGGCTTATGAAAATGCCAGTTATGTAAGGAGCTTCCAAACGTTCTAAAAATGGAATCCAATCAATTGAGTGACTCTTAAATGATATGGGGAAAGAGAAATTTAATCCTATGATCTAGAAAAGCCGTCTCAGTCTGCTGTTTATCTTTTTGTCTTTTTAGTCCCAGGGTTTGAATACCATAATGGAAGACATCTAACCATAAGACCATGGCAAACATACTGTGGCTTTTCATATTTGAGTTCAATTTAAAAATGCCCCAGCTTCACAAATGTTCCCTAAAGGAATTTTTCACCTTTTTAAAAACTTGTCAACATTTCAAATAAAAACTACCAAATTTCTCGCAATAGACGATGTGACAACTACAGGAATTACACTTCCAAACTTTCAGAAAGTGACTCCTGAATGAAGACACTCAAATGGAAGTTTCTCTGGTTTATCTACTGGAATAAAAATTGTATATTTTTGCTCAAAAGTCTCTAATTTAATGGAGTAAAATATAGCTGTCTTATTCTTCAACATAAACAACAGCTTTTCTAAGACAAGAAAAAAAAGACAAGTTTTGTAGCAAAAACTGCCAATCTTGTCTTTTTCAGTTAAAGTGGTTAGTGTTGACTAAAGAAACGTGAAGACTCTAAAAAAAAGGGGGGGGGGGGTTTCAACTATGTAACTGGAACAAAAGGTGAAATAGTTTAAAAATGCTAGAAATAAGCAAACCAGTGGGGTATTCTTTGTTGACGCCCCATATTATTTTTTCAAGTGCATTTGGCTATACTGTAAGAAAGTTAATTATTGTGACCAGAAGTCAATCATATCATATATGATGAAAAGTTCCTCCAGCAAAAACCATGTTTGCAAATGAGCTATCTCAATCCTGATTATTCACCTGTTAAAATGGCACTTTCATGTCACAGCAATTGAAGACATAAACTGAAATTGGGTGACTGATTTCTGACTTCCTCTCTGATTAGCTCTTCACAGGCCATGGAAGGACCATACCACTATGAGTGTGTGTCCCCAGTTCTTTATCTGTGATGTTCTGTTTAAAACTTGTTGCCTTTAACAATGAAGGGGTGTGGTAGTCCTATCACATCCAGAAACAGGATAGGAACCTATTTTTTACTAGAGAAGTTTAGATCTTTCAACTGGTACAAGCAAAGGGGTAATGCTTGTTAAATTAAGACCTTTTCAAAACTTACATATATAAAAGCCTAAGCGACTGTTAGGCCTGAACAACCAGTCACTATGATGCACACTGACCACCAGGGGGCAGATGCTCAATGCAGGAGCTTCCCCTTGGTGGTTAGTGCACTCCCACAGCCAGCCTCCTGTAGCCCCTCCCTCCAGCCAGCCCCCAATCAGCCTGATAGGGAGGATCGGCTGGCCAACCTCCCACGGCGCCTCCCCACAATGGCTGGCCACCCTCCCGATATCCCTCCCCCTGGCTTGGCTGGGCCCCCAGATAGGCCTTGATCACCGTCCAAGCAGAGAGACCTCACCTGTGCACGAATTCATGAACCGAGCCTCTACTTACTTATACAGTGAAAAGTTACTCCAAGAGCACTTGAATACAACCTTTCAAAAATCACACAACATATTCATTCATGCAGTAAATCATCAGGGGATGTTTGGATCATGAAAATCGAGTATAAGTCAAATCATACAAACTTTCCTGTCTTTCTCCATTAGAATAATATGCATGGGAAAGCTAAGTTCCAAACACTTCCTCTAACTGAAGATAGGGAGATTTAGTGCAAGCCACCTTGCTACAACTTTTTGAATTTTACAGAATGTTGACCCTTGATGAAGTATTTGAAAGACATGATTATATTTTCACAACCCAAATTATCCCAATTTAATTTTCAAAATAAGAATTGTTCCATGTTTTCAGTTTATTGCCATTCACAAAACATCTTATAAAATAACCTGGTAGACTTCCACTTCAACATCTTCACAGTACAAGAAAGTGATTGCTACTGCGTATATCTAAAGCCAGCCAGTATTTTGAGTATAGGGCAGAATATTTCTGCAGTTCTTCCTAAAAAATGTTGGCACATTCATTAAATGCCCATGTTATAAAAATCACTTACTATCAATCCTTATCTTTCAGTATATTTTCATATCTACATAGCATCACATTAAATGTCAATGGGCAAAGGAGTGTAAAAAAAAAATCTAAAAACATTTCAGTTCTTAATGATTTAAAACCAACTAGCAAAAATCTTCCCTCCAAATATTTTTATATGTAACTTTGTCAATTACCACAATAACAAAGAGCTATTATACTTTTAAAGAAGCTAAAGAAAAAGATTTCACTTTTCCTTTCAAACACGATTTCTTAGCTATTAAATAAAGAGGTAAAACTTTACATATGGGTTTAAATTGGGGTGGGTGAGAAGACGAGTCATAAGTAAAAACATCAAGTTTATGTCAGTTGTACAAATGTCTCATTTAGGAAAGAAAGTATAAATTTTGATTCAAAAATTCTAAAATATTTTGTCATTACAAGAAACGTGTAAATTTTTTTTTCTGGCGCCTTGCGGATGATGGTGGGTTGGTAGGTGGGGCTCCTGAACTACCTTTTCGCTCCCCCAAACAAGATTGGCAGAGGCCTCTACACAGCTGTGGGCCGGAAGCAGCCAGAGAGCGGAGGGATCCGGGTCTGAGGGAAGGAGGCCAAAAAGGTCTTCAGGAGGCGCCTCGAGCTGAGCTGCGATAGTCTCCCATTCCCCTCCGCTCCCCCAGAGCAGGGACACCACAGCCACTGCTGCCTCCCATGCACATTCAACTAATAAAAGCGTCTATTAGCATATCCTATTATTTTTCACAAAATCCATAATAAAGGAACAATAGGTTAGGCAAAAGGTCTTTTTTTCAAACATTTGCTCAGATTAGTGAGATAGCCTCCTGGTAAAATACCTCCAAGAATCATCCTCTCTCAAATCAGGGTTCTAGACTAACTGCCCTTCAGCATCTCCCAATTTACAAACTTATATAGAATTGTTAAACTTGTAAAATGCTTTTGAGAATGAAATGTTTCAACTCAAAGTACTTTCCAAATAAAGTGCCCCCAATTTAGTAGTAAAGCTGTTCTTACAAACATTTTTAATCTTACTTTAACATTTATTTTCAGTGTTATTTCCTTGTCACCTTAAAAGAAGATGAGGTATCACTAAGCCGGCTCTTAACTTCCTGGTCTCCCCGACCTGGCAGCTGACTGGTGGCCTGCAGACATAGCCTGGGCCCCAGCTCCGATTCTGGGCAACTTGAGCCACACTCTGAATCCCAACACAAGGGTGACACCACCTGCTCTGTGTCCCTCTGTTTTAAAACCAATAGAGTTGCCATAATATTCCCAAGTATCTGTAGACTATAAATTATATGCAAATGCAAAGGATTGCTGCCATAAGCCTCAATTGGCCTTTTCCTGGTAACAAAGTCTAGATATCTCTTATATAAAGTATTTGCTCTTTGCACATTTATGGTTCTGATCCTTCCATTACCTACTATTCTCCAGTAGTCATTCTGTCTCCTGCTTCAAATTATGCTTCCAAGTGTACCAGGCTTGAGATTCAGTTTGTGTCTCCCAGAGTCTGGAAGTCTGACCTTATAGTGGTGAAAACTAAAACCTAAGATCCCTGATCCTTTAGTAAATGTGGTATCATCATTGCTCACTTCACAAGAATGGTTCCCCAAGTAGATGATGCACCAGACTCCCGGAGGCAGCACTTTAGGAGAGTCTAATTCGGTATGTCCGGAGTAGGGACCAGAAAAAAAAGCTCTTTCTCACAAGCTCCCCCAAGTAATCACAACAATCGATATTTCAGGTTTTTGGAACTCACTGTTTTGCCCACAATTTCTTCTCTAGAATATTAGCAGCTGCTAGTTTGTTTTCAGTATAAAGATTTCTCCCTGTGCTAGTCACAAGCACATTCAAAGTACACTGCCCTCAATCTAGGCTCAGATCCATAGGGAACTAGTCATTATAATCTTTTGCAATAAAATTTTAAAATAACTTCAGAGCTAAGATAATGCATTCAAGCTTTAAGGTGTGAGGATCTATGTTAACAGGACAACTGTTTCTGCTTTCCTTGTAGTTAGCACTTCACGGTAAAAATGAAGACCATCTTACTACAGTCACCACTAAGTAAAGGATGGCAGAACTTTTGCCAATAACAGGAAAATGGTTAACTAGCTAGTCAGTATTACTAAGAAAATGTTTCCAGCAGACACAAATGAAAAATGAAAGGTACTTTACGAAACCACTCAGCTTCCTGTAGAAATCCAAAGAAGTCTACCATAGAGGGGGAATCTGACCAAAACTATGGTTATTTAAAAATATGTTCAATTAACTGTGAAAATATAAGTGTCAAATAGGTACAGTTTTATCCTTGAGGAGGTTTAATAGGCATAAATGGGATTCAGTTTTCATTTATTCTACCCAAGTAGTTGTGAAAAGGACACAAAATATTTGGTATACTGTAGTTCTAAACACCATCCCCTCCAAATTTAACACAAGAGCCACATCTGGGTTCCCTAGGGGTCCGAGTATGTCTAGGCACTGCGGAACGTGGTCATGTCTTTTGGTTCTCTGCTGGGGACACACCAGTCGTCAGCTTCGTGGATGGTTTTATAATGCTTCCAGGCAGCTTTGTTATACACCGGGAGTCTTTCTATGGATTCTGTAGACAGAGCCTGAAAGAAAAGCAGGACCTAAGTCTGGCATGTTTTTAGAATCCAATATTTAAGAAAACATACAGTGGCAAAAAGATGACTACAAACTAAACAATACCATATTAGCTATGTATTTTATTAATCATAACAATGTCTCCTCATATTTTAAGTAGTGTACATACTTGAAACGTATTATTGACTGAGTCTATGGCACTGCCTGGTGTGCACATTGACTGAATTTGTTGCTGGCAGTAATTGTCCAGCCAGCCTGGATGCCACTGGATTGAAATTGTACACAAGTGTAATAGATGCCTCTTGTAAGACATGACCCAGAACAGAAGTTGATTCATTTAAAAGTGGTGTAAGTACAAAAATTGACATATGTACCTTAATATACAATGGTACAATCACTTAATGTACTCTATTTTAATTATTTATTAGAAATACATATTTTCAGTATAGTTACTGTACTTTTAAAAATTCAACATATTATTACCAATAAATATAAAACTAGGTCTAAGGCCTCTTGGCTGTTGCATGAACCATACCTGTCTCTGGGTTTGACCCTCTGTCTTTTCTTCCCGCCATTAGAGCCACCAATTTCAGTTATAGCACATGTGTTTCTGCATCATGCATAATTTCATGTTTCTAACATATCATTGCCATTAATTCACTATTCTTTTTACCTTCATTTAAATCACTGGAACATAGTTTATTGTTCCTCATTTTCTTCTTTAATAAAATTTCACAGTTAATTTTACACAGGCATTCCCCAAGATGTAAAAAAATACTGAACTAAAATTCTATTCTAATAATGCAAAGGAAAGTATTTAACATTGATGATTTTAATAATTCTATAAGACTTCCTGTCATTTATTTTTTGCAAAATGGAACTAAAAACCTTACACCTATATATTCTTTTTGAATGTGCCAGAAATGCTAGCACCACTTGATTTTATAGACTGGATCAAAGATGTTACATTTAATGATAAAAATATTGCCTTCATGTTGCCCTTTTTAAGTTCCTTACAATTGAGACAGTTTAAAAAAGGAAAAGAGAAAGAATTATTATCTTGAAAGAATTTAACCTTTTCAGATAAATGTATTTTTCCAATAGTCTTCAGCATTTCCTGTAAAATAGGTGCCATCTAGTGGCCAGAATAAGAAACTAGAGCCACTAAATAGATGCCAACATTTTTAACCAATTCAGTGGGTTGCGGGGGCTGTGTTCTCCATCCCGTAAAATATACTGATCTTCGTAAAAACACATAGAACATCCAAGGCCAATCGGCTCAGTGCCTCTGCTCCCACCAAGTGCGCTTACCAAGAGTCACTGTGCTTGTTCCCAAATCTGTTTATGCAATTTTATCTGTCATTGTAAATACATAACCTAATCAGATATTACTTAAAGCAGGGGTGTCGAACTCAATCAGAGAAGGGGCCAAAATCTAAAATCCAGCCTAAATCGTGGGCCGAATGGTTTACTGAACAGTCATAAACTGTCATTGTGATGGAAACGCAGCGGAGTGCAGTGATGACAGCGAGGTGCGGGCCACATTGCAAGGCCTGGCGGGACGGATTTGGCCCGCGGGCCTTGTGTTTGACACATGTGACTTAAAGTGTTGAAAAGATTGGAAGGCTTCTTTGAAAATTAATATATTTTTTAAAAACTCATGAAGAAAAGTCACATAAAAACTGCTGTCAAATCAGAGTCAGAAGACATTTTTAAAGGACTGTATACAAATAGAAAAGGATTATACACTTGGTTGTTTCTTCGATATAATAAACCTCAAAAAAATGCATTGTACACCTTCCACAAGGAAGATACTGAAACTGCAGACCCAAAGAAAGGCCTGTGCAATAAATCAAAAGATCGGTGGATCGATGCCCATTCATGAGTTTTATGCTAAAATTAAATTTATAAGACATAAAACTTTTCATGATTCCCCACTTTACCCAACTTTTTTTTTATTAACAACCATAGTCCTGATCATTACATACATATAAGCATTTCTTTTCCTAGAGTCAAGGAGATCATTTGTCAAAAAAGATGAGGCCATATGCTAAAAACTATATATGTTTATTTAAATAGCATGAATTAGAGGAAATTTTCATTACATTATTGTTAAATATTGGCATCTCTTCCTCTTATCAGAAGAAGTCTCATTCACTCAAGAAAGCTATTGTTCCTACCTTAATGAAGATCACTGCATCAGTCCCATAGCCCTCGAGGGAATACAGCTTCAGGTCTCCTTGGAAGTACTGAGCGTAAAGACGGGAGATGGGCAATCCATAGCCAAAGCCAGCCTGTTGTGTGAGGAAAAGGAAATTCTGAAATTCTATTCAGAAAACCACCCACTGAAATGCTTATCTAATGAATGGAAATGCTACTGAGTATCCCAGGCTATCAGAAACGCTAATGCCTAAGTATTTCTAAAGATCAGGCTGGAGCCAGCTGAGTACCACATTAGGTTACTCCCCTCCCGTCACTAGAAGTCTTCCTTCTTTCTACTATAAAATGACTTGGGAGAGAGGGGATCTGAAAAAGCATGTTGCTTTTCTTCGTTGGCCTGCTCTAGAGGAGGATATGCTTTGGGCAATATCATATAAAACATGTTCTCTCTTTTAGCAAGAGTAGAAAAAGCCTTTGTGGCCTAACAGATATATCTTGTGACTTCATACCATGAATTTGCAGCCTGTGTTCTGAATCTGGAGGGATCTTTCTTCATTCTCACTTACAGGTCACTTCCCTGCTTACAAATCTTCAAAGCACAGCTCCTTCCACCCACCCACTGGCTTGAAATAAAAACCCAAGCTTCTACAAAGAGCTTTCAAGACCTGATAAGATCAGGTCTCTGTCTCCCACTTTCCAGTCCAGCTGAACTAAATCTCCTGGTCTCAAGTTCTTCAAATATATGCTATTTTTTATTTTCGTATCTTTGTTCATCCTATTCCCACTGTCGAATGGCCTTCTTTGCCTGGACAAATCCTACCAATTCTTTAATATAAGCAAAATCTTTAGATAAATGCACAAATAGTTTTTATCACCAAATGAGATGTTCAATGGCATTCCATATAACACTTCAGTTGAGAGCTCATGTGGATTCAGCAATCAGAGTGCTATTCATAAACCCAGGCTCCAGCTTTATCTGTCTCCACCATTATTACTTGATTTTACAAACTGGAGTGTCTATTCACCTCTCCAAATCAATTATCTGTTTTCTTAAAAATTCACGTCTCCTTGCCCTGGGAGGCTGACCTGAATGGTGATGGCAATGGATTCCCATCCCTCCTCCTCCAGTGGGTCCAGCCAATGGGGAACCCAGTAGGAGTGCAGACGGAGTCAAGTCAGGGTATTCACTCCCCTGCTTCCTTCTGCCAGAGGTTGCTTCCTTTGGGCAGAAGGGGCTCCCTGTTACTAAGCAGCAGCTCTGCCACCTTCCCCTTTTCTGGGTCTTCTGGCTTCTCCTCCGTCTCCCTTTGATTCTGGGTGGTGGCAGTTCTGCTGTTGGCCCTGGAATCCTGTACTATCTATAGTCATAGCTCTATAATTTGTCTTTCTGTAAATAAGCCTCCCTTAATTATCATAATTTGAATGAGCTCTCTTTTCTGTTGGGACCCTGACTAATACATTAATTAGTTCCAGAAATGGCCCCAAGGAGACTGCACAAGCAGGTGGCTCAGGATGCTATCCCCGACCTCGCCCTCAACCACACCTACAGACATGTGGGACTTCCCCCAGAAAAGTCAGATAAGAAAGCCAGCATGGGTCTGGCTTTTAGAGTACAATTAGACTCTAAGAAATGCTTATGTTTATTATTTGACCTCTCTGTCCCATGGCACACGGATGCCTTCCCCAGACACCATGCATCTCCCTTTGAGAAGCTCATTACTGTACTACATGAACCATCTTACAGTTGTAGCTACAGAATTTGTGCTGCCTAACAAGTAAAACTATTATAACAAAGTCCTTCTAGTAACTTCCTAGAGTCTAAAACAGATCCATCATATACTGCGTTTCATCATGACACTCCAGGGCCGGTGCCAGAAAAGACTCCAAGCCTAGAACAGTTCTTCCAGAATTAAAGGTCAGAGATCTGGCAAAGCGCTCTTCTGGCAGTTGGAGAACAAGGATAGAGTCAATTCAAAAGCTAATTTAATAAATCTGAAAATAGATGACTATTAAGATGAATAAAAAATACCAGCAAAATGATCATTGGAGCCATTTCCAGGTTGATGATTAAAATGATCAGAAGTCTACGTCTTATTTCTGAATCTAGAATATGAGTTCTATTATAAGTACTTGAGAGGGGGAGGGGAAAAACATTGAAGATAAAATCAGTGTTGACCCAATACCAGTAAAACTGCTAATTTAGTCTTCACATTAGAAATAGTACATCAAATGCAGTTTACCACAGGAAAACTACTGACATATCACTATCAAGCTTGGCAACGAGACCTCCAAAACAATACTCTTTGTCTCGTGCTCCTCAGTCAAAAGAAAAAAAAATAACCAAAACTACTGCAATTTAAATTTAGAGGGAAGTGGGTTTTTTTTCTAATAGCTCCCCTTCTTCCTTGAGGTGTGTCCTACTCAATGGCTGAACTGATTTATTTGGTAACCCATTTGTTTTCTTTGGCAATTACAAAGACGCACTTCATTATTTCTTGGTCACATACCAGGGGTGCTGCTCGGGACGTCTCCACACGCGGCCGCGGTGCAGTTGAGTACATGTAGTTGAAGAGCCTGTCAATTTTCCTCAGAGGAACACCACCTCCTCGGTCACTCATCTAAGATGAGAAAGGATCATGCAATATGACCAAGTCCTTTATACAACAAAATAAGGACACACAGTGTCACAGTTTAACTGCTCTCTGCAGAGTCCGGCTTTTCAAAACGAGTATCATGCAATTCAAGTTGCAAGTGTAAACAATTCCTTCACTGCTGGACTTAACACAACTCATCTAACAGGTAGAATTTTAATACAAAATAAACTCCATCATAATACAAGTTCAGGGGGTGACTTTGTGTATTACTGAAGTCACACTAACACTGCAGTATAGCACTGAATGCAGCATAAACTAAGCCTATCTAGGATGTAAAAATAATTCTTTTTTGGTGGCCAGTTTGAAAACCAGGTGAAAAATGCATAAATCCTCTCTGACCCAACAATGTTTATCCTAAAAAAATAAGCAGAAAAGTATGCAAAGAATGTGGGATACTATCCATTACAGCACTATAGAGAACAGCTAAAACTAATTAGAAAACTATTTGAGTAAACTAATGTACAGTCTAAAATAGAACACTACTTAGCCATTAAATATTATATAGAATTGAATGTATAAGCAGGAGAGATGTTCACAAAATCTTGTTAAATAGCACAAAGCTATGAAGAAGTATTTATAATATTCTAATTTTATAAAAATTAAATTATGAAAAGCCTGTAATGATATATTTTTGTCTATTGAATTATGAGTGGTTTTCTTCTTTTGGGTTTTTAGTTTCTGAATATTTTTCGCAATTACTTCTATTATGGGAAACAACAGTATAATTTTCATTTTCAGGATGGAAAAAGCAGAGCCACTTAATTGTGGTGTAGTATCTCATGTACTAGGCATTTCATAGAATAGACTCCAGACAACTTTCTAGGCAATTTATAAGGTACATAGGTTTTTATATTGTGCTTATGTCATTTTTCAACTCAAATCATATGGTAGATGATTTGGTAGGTTTAGTGATGTATTTACAGATGGTCTTCATTTTGTATTCCTTCACAGTCATCATGGACTTATTTTCCTAGCTCTTGTACACCTTCCATTCTAATCTAATACAGTCATTTTCCTTTGTTACAAAATCTAAATTGAGTCCACTATCTATAATATTAAAATAGTTGTCATAAACTAATCTGCTTTTAACATAGGTATATAGATATGCACAGACATAAAAATAGTTCTGAGTGCTACATATTCAAAAGTCAATAAGCTAGATGGCTTCTAGTTACGTTTTTGTATAGTCTTTTTATTTATTTATCTCTATTGTTGAAAATATTACAGATGTCCCCTTTTTCCCATTAACCCCCTTCACCCTGCTCCTGCCTCCTCCCCAGGCCTTCACCAAACTATTATCTGCCCATGGGTTATGCATATATGCATATAAGTTCTTTGGTTAATCACTTCCCACCCCCTACTCTCTGAAATTCACCAGTATATTGTCTCCGACCTACTTTGTCAGTTTATTTTGTTCATTAGATTCCACATATAAGTGAGATCATGTGATACTTGTTTTTCTCTGACTGGTTTATTTTGCTTAGCATCTCTAGGTCCCTCCATGCTGTCTCAGAGGGCAAGATATCCTTCTTTTTTACAGCTGCATAGTATTCAATTGTGTCATACCACATCTTTTTTATCCACTCATCTACTGGTGGGCACTTGGGCTGTTTCCAGATTTTTAGCTAGTATAAATAGCATTGCTATGAACATATTCTTTCTGACTGGTATTTTTGGATTCTTAGGATATATTCCTCTAAGTAGGATCAGTGGGTCAAATGACAGTTCCATTTTTAATTTTTTGAGAAAACTCCATACTGTTTTCTATAGTGGCTGCATCAGAATGTATTCCCAGTTTTCGAATAGTCTTTAAAAATTTTTACAGCATGTTTACACAGTAAGTTCTCATCTTTGTAAGTTCTCAACCTATTAACATCACCAGGTTCTTGAAACTGTGGTGAAATGATAAGCTAGTTAATATAAACAAGAGCTAAATTCCTATTTTCATCAATGTTTGACTAAACAATGTTAAATAAATGATGTTATTTGAGGATCTGATGTATATTTCTTTCACAATAAAAATCATATAGCTATTTTAATTTTAAAAATAAAAGTTCACTTTGAAATACCATTTGAAGAGTTGCCTCTGATATATCTACAATTAGAGCACTGCAGTATAAAAATTACAAGGACTTCATTAAGAACTTAAGCTTGAAATTATTCTTGGCCATGAATTCAAACCCTGTGAAGAGATTTATTTTAGTAAGATGAATAAAGAGCTCTGAGTATTTCCTGAGATCCATCAATTTGTTAATTGTTCATCCTTTAATATAATGCTCCGTTGCACACTTGTTGGTAAGAAGCGTGAGAGTTCTATAAATATTAACTAAGTAAACAACATATTAGAATAGATATTAAGATTAAAGGTAGATTCAATGAACTGGTTTTTCTTAACCTTCTGGCATCCAACAAGTATAAAACAGGAAGTGACTTCCAGCCACAGGCGAGTATGAGGAAAGCAGAGCACAGAGCAGAAAGGATGGGTGACTCTGAGAGGCACCTTCTGATTACAGTGAAGAGGTAAACGAAGCCACAGGAATACTGTTAAAATCTGACACCGGTAAATTAAGGTGCCCTCCTTTGCTCTGCTGTCAAGAAACAAACTGGAAGAGGTAGATTTTTAAGTGGTCCTTAAGAGTTTCCAAGAGAATTGTAAGAGATAAAAGAATACCAGATGGACTGAGTTCTTTGGTAAAAGAGGGAGAGAAAATAATGGGAGAGAGACAGAGACAGATATTTGGTCTATATACATTTAAGACAAGAAGAATGGCACTCTGATGACAAATATACTGAGAAAGATATATTAAAATTAAACAAAAAATCTCTGATTAAGATAATTTGAAGAAAAAAATATAGACTCATGGGAACACAAGCCTATGCTAAGAGAAAGGCAAAATATTATGAAAGAGAAACATGGTAGGGAGTAATGTCAACAGGAAGGCCAGGGAAGAGAAGTTTGCCAATTATTTTTAAAGTTTTCTCTTCAGCGCATGAAATCACCACTTCTCAATGTCATCGAACCAAGAGCTGCCGTTCCTAACTTCCTGTTCCCCTTCACCCTGGGCTCCCTGGGTTAGCTCATCTGAATGCCAGGTTCAAGGGAAATGAACCGTGGCTAACTTGATGACAGCTCTGAAGGCAGGAAATGTATTAACTCTAAACTCTCACCCAGAGCTCCTGAAATCTCTTACTCAACATCTTTTTTAATGTCAAGTTTATAAAATCAGCAACAGTGAACTTTTACTTTAAATACATGTGGCTTTAACACTTACATTATTTACTGAATATAGACCAAACATAAAATCTGAAAGAGCAGCTAGAGTTCTGAGACAGAAAAAACTAATTCCTTCACAGGATTTTCAGCAGAGGAATAAAAGGTGAAAAATGTCACCTTCTAAACAAACTTAAAAAATGAGCAGCATTGGGGGAGGGGGAGGGAATAGACCTTGATCCTAAAAGTCTAGCATAAGTAATGGGGTGAAATCTCTACTGAAGAAAATTAAAGCAAGGATTTAACACATAAAGAGATAAGCAACAAGAGTAGATACAGTCATGTGACTTTCGATGTAAGGAAGCAGAGCCCAATATATAGGTAGGGCTTTTATAAGTCTGTTCAAGACCTTTATGAAAAATTTTTATAGCTTTTTAAAAGTATGTATTTTTATTGACTTCAGCAAGGAAGGGAGAGAGAGATAGAAACATCAATGTATTCTATTATATGGATATGTATCCCATTTTGTTGATCCATTTATCAGTTGATGGACATTTGAGCTCTTTCCATATTTTGGCTATTGTCAATAATACTGCTATGAACATCCATGTATACGATTTTGCTTGAATATCTGTATTTAAACCTTCAGAGTATATAAAGATCTAGAGGTGGAAATGCTAGGTCATTATGAACCTTTCTTTCCCTAAGCAAAGTCTGTCCGTCCACCAACACCAAACAAGAGGACATAAGGGAACATAATGTAATATTTTGAACAAGATTTAACTTAAAAAAACAAAAAAAAATTAAAAAGTGAGAGGATAAAAAACAATTAGAGATAATAAAATTTAAGGCCACCTGAGGCAGTATACAACAATTAAGGCAAACAATAGGCTAACAAAAAAGCTTAATAAGAAAAGCTAGGGAATGAGATATGTAAAGGGGTTTAAAAAGTGCAGAGATGTCCTGAGAACCCAGAAGGTCACGTTAATGCCTAGGGCTATGCTCATACTCAGGAAAAACCAGAACAGATCCCTAAGCTTTCACCTCTGACTGACCTTGAGTTTCTGTATAAGCAGGATCTAAGGATAAGTAGGATTAACATATTCATAGTGCTGAAAGCAAAAGACTAACTAAAAAGTCTATGCCAAGCAAAATGATTCTTAAAAAATGAAGAAAAATTAAGACATCTATCTATATACTGTAAAAGGCTAATATGCAAAGTGTCCCCACAGGAGTTCAAGTGGGAGTCTGATCACTCACTGTGGCGTGTGCTGACCACAAGGGGTGGCATGGAGTGAAAAAAGGCCCCCGCTGGCAGCTGGCAGCTGGGGAAGGAAGGCCCCGGCCAGCAGCCAGAAGGCTCCCGATCAGCCCTGATTGCTCGCCAGGTCTAGGAACCCCACCGTTCACAAATTTCATGCACAGAGCCTCTAGGTCTCACATACTAGGTGTACTGGTTAATAATGCAGATTTTGTAATCAAAGAAAACATGATAATTTCAAGAGAAATATTAAAATTAAATATTTAGCTGAAAAATGTCTCAAATCAATAACCTAGTAAACTTCCATCCTAAGAAACTAAAAAAGGAGCAAACTAACTCCAAAGGAAGAAAAAGAAGAAAATAATAAAGATTAGAGTTGCAATTAATGAAGTACAGAATTGAAAACAGTGGAGAAAAATCAACAAAATAATTACTTTTTGAAAAAAATTAACAAAATTGAAAACTGTTAGCTAGACTGACTCCCAAAAGGGGAGAAGACTCTTTCCCTTTTCCTTCCTCTCTTTGAAATCAATAAAAACATATTTTTTAAAAATGAAAAATTATTTACTATCTACATAACACTGCAAATACACAAATATTTTAGATTTATCAAAGTTAATATTCATGATCACTGCTAAGGTGTCTGCCTCCAGGACTGACTTTAACTTGAATCATCAGAATTAGAAACCAGAATAGAAATAGACTCAAGGGAAAACTCCATAATCTGTCAGAAAAATGAAGAATGTGCTTATTATTATAGGTATAAGAGATAGGACTTCTTTCTCCTAATGATAAATTATGCCTTCTAGAAATTATGTGCGTGCATGCCTGAATATCACCTTAAAAAAGAAAAGCATTTACCTTCACAGTCAAATCCTCAGTACCCAGTGTGACGTGGACTTGAATAGGTGGATAAACACCTTTGTCAGCATGATATTCCATGGTTGCTCTCATTGCATTCTGAAATACATTCGATTTACATTAAAAATACAACTTTTAAAAAGGAGAGAACATAATTATAATTTTCAACTAATATGCACTACTTGAAATTTTAAAAGTTTTAAGTCGATGGAAATATGCTAAAGAATCATTATTCTTATAACCATATTTAAAGAATTATTTTTTAAAAAAATTATGACGTCAATTGTGGAGGAGTTGTGAGACATTTTGATTTAAAGATTTCAACTAAATTCTGTATATTTTGCAAAACCAGATGTTTTAACATTTTAAACGAGTTTACATTAAAGCAGAAAATTTTATCCAAATGTTTTTACAATTTAGTAGATAACAGACAAATCTTATTTTTGAAAACTTTCATTAAGAAAAAAAAATTTCATATACTATTTACAGCAATGGTCTTATAGTAATATAAACTAATCCAATTTACCATTAGTTTAAAACTAAGGACATTTACTTGTAAAACTGTTTTGGAACAATTTCTAAAGGATACAGCGTACAAACTGCCAACATGTCATAAGCACTAAAGCAAAAAAGGCAAAAGACAGGACTGACTTTGGAAATAAGTGTGGGCACACCAGTCTCCCTAAGGAGCAGATTGTATCATCCCTACTGAAGGCCCTTTTAGATCAGGTTCCATACGGAACCTATTACTACTGACGTTATACAAAATCGCTTATATAACATGGTAGTATTTCTTTTATTAAGCATCATGGGGAACAGGATCTTTATGTTCTGAAATTTCAAGGGAAAAATCAGTTTTAATCCTTTAAGTGCCAATCATTTATTTAATCACTTTGAAATATTTTTGGAAGGATTAGATATTTTCTTGCTTTCTTAGAACAAAAAAGCACTCTTGAAATCTTGCTGTTCTAAGTCATCATTATTATTGCATCATTTTTCCTGTTTCAGAATATTTTTCATTTTCCTTATCAGGCTGAAAGCCACATCTTCTCTCTTCTAAAGTGCTTCTGGCTGAAGACAAGGCAACTCAGGGAAGAGAGACTCCAGCTTGACTTAGGGTGCCATTTTCAGCCTCAGGGGCCTGTACCACTTCTCATCACCCACTTTCCTGTCCACCAGCAAGTGTTTTTGTTTTTTTTGTTGTTTTTTTTTTTGGGGGGGGGATGTATTCTCAACATTACTATCATAATTTTATTAGTTTTCAAAACTCGTTGTAAAGAGCAAATATACCAGCAGAAGCCCTATACATTAATATAAATGACTTTCTCAAAAGGAAAAAAAGCATACAGCAGGTAGGACTCTGGTCCTTTAGGGGTGGAAAGTGTTTATTTTGTAAAAAATAGAACCTCAAGGAGCCCCTACACTGTGCTGAAATTGTATTAGACATTCTCCAATCTTCATAATAATCTGGAGAGTATTACCCTTGTTTTTCCTGAAGAGGAAACAGCAGCTCAGAGGTTGAGCAACTTGGCCGAGGTCACCCACATAATTAAGTGGCAGAACTGGAATGCAAACCCAGTCTTTCTTCGGCCTCAGGCTGAGCTTACCACCACACCGAGGGGCCCATCAACGCTGTCAAAAGGCTGATCTCCAAGAGCGGAATTTGAAATGACGTCTTTTAATTAAACGGAAGAGAACCCGGTAGAGTATTGTATTTAACTTTCAGAGCAGACTCCTAGCCTCAGGAAAGGTCTGATAGAGGTTATGTAATACTATTTTACAAACCTTGAAAAGTTCAAACACCATGTGATAGAGATGGGATGGTACATAAACCACTTGTATTGGCTGTCCTGGTGATTTTGCTACAGAGCAGAAGAGAAAAATATAAAAGTACAGAGAGATATGCTTAAAGCATTTAAAGAATATATTGTGTGGTGATGAAAAGAAAACATTTACTACGGAGGATAGCATCATTTAGGGGAGAAATGCCACACCAGATCTTCACTGTATTCGTGTTTGAATCCCGTGCTCACTTAGATTAATACCTGACAGTGACAACACGAGTCCTGCATAACAAATAACCACCCTTCTGCCCATTCTTCTTTATGACGGCCAGTCTTTGTAAAGGACACTCAACCCTAAGGTCCAGGTTTTACTCTCCAGAGAAAGTGTTACAGTCTATAAATCCCATGGTCCAACTTACATAAATACATTCTTTTTTATGCCATTTTAAAAAATGTTTCTCCCAGGTGGAATGTTTTCTGTTTTATTTCAGGCATTTCCATGGATATAGATCTGAAGAAAAAAATTAAGCTAGCATCAATTTACCCAGGAATGCTGACTTTACATTCAACCATTAATAGGTGCCCTGGTGGGCAGGTAGTGTGTAAATTAGAACGTCGGGTAGAGTAAAGGAATAAGGTTCACCATACCCTGGGATCCTAATGTAGCCAACAAACTGGATTCCCTCTGAATAAAAAAATCCCTGGAAACATGGGTGGGACATCTGGAAACAGCCCAGAGTAGTTCAGGTCCCCAAACTATCACGGGTGTATTGTGATTCGTAGTTACTAAATGTACCATTATGGGCCAAAAGCATTAATAACGGCTTTAGGAAAACATCAAACAATTCTATTTTCAATTGGGTAACATCCACTGCTGTCCAGAATACAACTTAGTAAAAACTGTTTAATTTTATTCTTCTCAAAGGGTCATGTTAACTTAGGAAATGTTCCCCCCCCCCCCCCTTTTAAACTACCCTACCTCTAGGAAAAACAGTATTTTGTCCAAAAGGCACTGGCAGGGTGAAAAAAAGACCATTAGAGATAAACAGTTTCTCAAATAAATGACCACCTTTATTTCTTCTTTACACCTCCAATCTTTCTACTTCCTCAATAGTAAACAATGATTTATAACTCAGAGAGTAAAAATATTCTAGGGTAAACCTTACATTATTGAAGTGCATATAAAAGTCAAATGGAATTTTCTTGGCACCACTTTTCCACTTTTTCTAACCAGAAAACCAAAAATAAGTAAAGAATCAACATAATCAATGTAAAACTGTTTTAATGGGAAAGACCAAAATGTCTTTCAGAAAGAATCCAGCTACATTAAATACACAGACATACACACACACAACACACACACACACACACACACACACACACACAAATATGTTTTAACATGATTTCTCTCACTCGGCTTTCCTATGAAGAAATTGATGAAAAGATCTTTTATATTAAAACAAATCTAAATTATCCTTATAGTCCCTTGTCAAGTCATCAAAACAATGATCACTGAGGAATAGACAGCATCAGGCTTACCATTCAGTTCTTCAAGCTCTAGTTCAGGAGAGTTAATATAATATAGATCACAAAGACGCCTAGCACTTTCATAGCCATCTAGTGTGAATCAAAACAACAACAAAAAAGCATTAAATATATTTACATCTGTTTCATGCATTAAGATGGCAATAGTACTGACAAATGAAATTTTCAAACTTTTTATAGAAGAAAATATACTTTAAAAATCTTAGTGTTTAAATATGACATGACAAAGCCTAATAGCCATAAAGGAAAAATGACAGATATAATACAAAAAAAAAAATCAAGCAAAACCCACATCTATATAGAAAAAGACACCATAACCCAGCTGGTGTGGCTCAGAGGTTGAGTGTTGATCTATGAACCAGAAGGACATGGTTTGATTCCTGGTTAGGGCCCATGCCCAGGTTGCTGGCTCAATCTCTAGTAGGGAGCGTACAGAAGACAGCCAATCAATTTTTCTCTCATATCACTGGTTTCTCTTTCTCTCTTCCTCTCCCTTCCTCTCTGAAGTCAATAATATATATATATATATGGTAAAACACACATCAAAGTAAAGAAAAACAGCAAGCTAGAAAAATACTTACAATACATAAAACAAACATTTAGAGTTGGTGAGGGTTTAGGAAAGACACTCTCATTCACTGTTTGTTACCTTATGGGACTTATCAAAATTTTAAATGCACTTTAAATGTAAATCTTCCTTTGTAAAATAATAGCAAAAGTCACCAGATATCTAAAGATGTGCACTGCAATATTGTTGATTAGAAAAAAAATGAAAACAAACTAGATGCATCAAAGGATGGCCCAGCCAGTGTGGTTCAATGGTTGAGTGTCAACCCATGACCAGGAGGGAGAGGTTTGACTCCAGTCAGGGCACATGCCTGGGGTTATATGCTTGATTCCCAGTAAGGGGCATGCAATAGGCAACCAATCAGTGTTTCTCATCACTGATGAGTTTTTTATCTCTCTCCCTTCCTCTCTCTGAGAAAAAAAATTAATAAAGAGTTAAAAAAAAAGGGGGGGGGGGAGGATGGACTAATAGATTCTGGTACATCCATACAGCCATTCAAAAATCTATATATATTGAACATGGTACAATGTCTGTAAACTTGTAGAAATAGATTACCCCATTTTCTAAATAAACAACATAAGACCAGCAATCATATGTGTGTGTATCTATCTATCTATATAAAAGCCTAAGAGACCAAATGACAGGTTGATTGGTCACTATGACGTGCATTGGCCACCAGGGGACAGACGCTCAACGCACAGGATCGGGCTCCCTCCAGAATGGATTGGGCTTGCAGGAATCAGGTTCCCTCATGTCTGAATCGGGCCAGCTGGTGGGGATCAGGCTGAAACCAGCTCTCCAACATCCCCCGAGGGGTCCCAGATTGCCAGAGGGCACAGGCCAGGCCAAGAGACCCCATCGGTGCACAAACCATGCATCGAGCCTCTGGTATATGATATAAACAGAAAAAAGTGTGGAAAGATGTAAGCCAATTATAAGTTATGGCTTCTAGACAGAGAATTAGAAAGGAAAAAGGGGCTTAAAATTTTTGAAATGAAACAGATACCCACATAGCATCACCATACTTTACCTATCCAAACATTGTATCAGCAAATATCCTATTCATAAGGCACAATTAACATTAGAAAGTTATTTTCAAACCCACATATTCACTCCTAACATTTTTATCTCGGGATATAAATAGCTGTTTTAATAGCAAGATTAACACTCAACCATTTTGATTCCTACATTTTTTCTGAAAGGAGAAATGTAAGTATTTACCTTGAATAACTTCAACTACATTGCAGTTTGGGTTTATGCTTCCAATGTGTTTTCGATGAGATGGGCTTCCTTTGTCTTTCCCACCAAACAACAAAGCTATTAAGAAAAGAAACATCAGAGACAAATCAAATATGCTAAAATATCCAAAGCCCATTTCCAGATTGGAAAACTCTTTCTCTAAATGGTATTTGAACAAAAGAGCAAACATTTTTCTTAAACATAAATATAAACACAGTATTTTATATTCAATAAATAAACCAAGTCTGTTTACTTTTCTTAATACATTAAAAAAAAGTAAAATTAAACATTTTCCTTAAAGGGAAGTTTTCTAAATAAATTTAAAATATACCAATACACTTTAACTTCTTTTCTTGACTTCCAGACACTTACAGTGCTGATTGAGTAACATTCTAATTGAAATTCGACTCATGAAGAAGCGATCCAAAAAGTACTGAACATTCTGGCTGGTGACAGGATCCGCCCCGAAGCTCTCCTTGTATTCAATCACACCCTGAGCCATGGTGGGAATCACGTCATTGTGTCGGTTCCTGATCCGTATCACGGTATCTGTGAAGCTAAACAAACCTGTCTCTCAATACAGCCAAGTATTTTGACAAGTGAATCTAATACTAAAATCTAAGTTTAACCAACTACACTAGGCAAGCAATCCCTAATTCGGCTAAAGAAACCTCAGTGCATGTTGTCCTATACCTCTGTAAATATATTTCAGATCATTGAATATACTGAGTCTGTGACAGTGTAAGAACCTTCAAAATAAAACATTTGAAATTTAATTATTTTCTTGAAAGTCTTAAAGGAAGGCTGCAACAAAAGATGATCCTAAACATGCTATGGTTTTTTCTGTAACCATTGTCAGCTGAGGTCATCTGAGCCCGCACTGTGAGACAGAATTCAGGGACATTCGGTCTCAGAAGACGGAGCACTGGCTTCCAGGGAACACATGCTCTGTAAGGAATGAAGATGAATGAGCCTATAAAGACTGTCGGCTTTGGAACTATTCCCTGGGGCTCCAAGAGAGAAACAACCACTTAGAACAGAAAAGTAGGGGAGAATTCTAATTTCACTCATCCTATAAGTTTAAAAATGGGAGAGGGAAAGTCAACTGTTGTGTGAAAAGAAAAAATTTTCAAATCATCTGGCCTTCCCATTTCTGTCATTTAGAAGACATTCTTGCTTGGATAATTTAAAGAACGAAATAAAGAGAAAAGGAGTCTTAATTAGGAAGTAATAAAATCCATTTTGTAACATCCCCATCAGATTTTACACTTTCGAATGAGTGCTTTTCCATTCAAAGTCATCATCTGGAGTACTATTAACTTATTCCAATGATGCTCTCACAGCTCAAAACATTTTTGAAATTCCTAGTTTGTAATTAGTTTCAAAACCATACTGTTAATCCAAATAAGAAAACTCCTCAAAAAACAGCAAACATTTCATCATTTCTAGTTACCCCTTTATTAGTTTATTTCACCGTTCCCTACTTTTTTTTATTTTTTTGATCCTCAGCAAAGGATACATTCTCCATTGATTTTTTTTAGAAAGAGTAGAGAGAGAAGATGGAGAGGGAGAGAGGAGAGAAACACTGATGTGAAAGAACACAGCGATTAGTTGCCTTCTGCTCATGCCCAGATAGGGGCTGGGGATTACACTTCAACAGAGGTTTATGTCCTTGGCCAGGAACTGAACCAGAGACCCTTCAGTCCATGGGCCAATGCTCTAACCACTAAGAAAACTGACCAGGGCATCACCTTTCTCTCCTTTTTTAATATTCCAAACAGTATTATTCTGCTTATCTGCTCTGAATGACTGTTTCCAGAAGGTTCAATAATATAATCCACGTAACATAAAGTTTACTTTTAAGAATACTTGTGCCCAAATCTGGGCACTACCATTTGCTAGCTATTTATGCTACTTTAAATTACTTACTCTTTTTGTACAGAAAGTAGAATCTCAATTGAATTGTTTTAAAGATTAAATATTCACGTAAAATGTGCTCCATAAGCAGGTACAGAGTACAGCCTGATGTTATTTTCAGACCAAAATCATAAAACTGAAGTTTTAAAAATGAAGTGTTGCCATCACCTTTACAGTAAAAAAAAAAAAAAAAAAAAAAAAAAACAAAAAACAAAAAACAACAACAACAACAACAAAAAAAAAACTATTAAAGACTGAGGACAACAAAAAATGTGATCTCCAACTTTTGACCAACATCCATCGGAATAAGCAGGTAATTGCCTGAGGGCACTACTTGGGTTCACCAGTTCTGATATGTTGGTCATTGAAGTGGATATATTACTTACATTATCTTACAGACCACAGGTCATAAACTAGAGACCCACAGACATTTTTGTAGGCCTTCAGTGTTTTTAAAATTTTTTAATTAATTGCCCCTATCATTCAAAATTGGGAGATTTTACATTAAAAATCTAGATGTGTGCCTGGTGTAGCTCCGTAGTTAGAGCATTGGCCCATGCCCTGAAGTGTTGCTGGTTCGATTCCCAGACAAAGACACATACCTGGGTTGCAGGTTCGATCCCCAGCATGCCTGCCTCTCTCCCTCTCCCTCTCCCTCTCCCTCTTCCTCTCCCTCTCCCTCTCCCTCTCCCTCTCCCTCTCTCTCTCTCTCTCTCTCTCTCTCTCTGTCTCTCTCTCTCTCTCTCTTTCTCTCCCTCTCTCTCCCCTTCATCCCTCTCTTCCACCACTCTCTCTAAGAATCAGTGGAAAAAATATAATCAGGGTAGGATTAACAAAAAATCTAAACTTGTGACTTTTCTTTAAACACACAAAAAACTTTAATGATCTGGGTGGTGTTACAGTTTGGCGACGATTGGCTGGAGCTGAGGGTGGCTGTCCTTTAGAGGAAAGCACTCTCCAGGAGAAAAGTCCTCAGCTTCCATCCAGGGCTCTGCGGCCACACTAGCTCTCTGCAGACCACAACTCTTACACCAGAGACCCGAGGAGCATGAAGCATCTCTTGTTCCCAGGACCATTTCCTGCTTTCTGTTACTTGCCTGGCCCGTTCGGGCTGCTTTAGACAAATATACTGCCACATGTTCCACTACAGTGGGAAACTAAAAGTTAATCGATTTATATTTTTATATGACGTTTAAAGGGTACAAAAATTATGTTCAGAATTAGGTCAAAATAGTAAACTTACTCATAAATAGCTTTAGCGTCTTCAGCACTTTTGTCCTTAAAATCAAGAAGCTCCTGAAGACTCTGGATATACCTAAAATACAAATCAACAGGGTAAGCTTGCTCTGTCACACTTTGAGAGTTCAATATTGTGAAGATGCTCAAAAGGGATTTTTAACATTTCTCATTTTTTAATTTAGTATAGTACTCTAAATTACCAGTATGGTTAAGGTGGGATTTTTATACATAATCACATTTCAGCAAAGTTCCTGGTTCAAACTAGCAGAATGTGCATATTTTCTCCTAAAAGCATAGGTTAAATTTGACTGAAGAATTGTAAGATTTCCTACCTCTTCTATTTTTTTAAACTTCTATACTCTAAAATAGTTATCTTTACCAAGTAGCTTTTACATTTATTTATTTATTTATTTATTTATTTATTTATTTTATTTTATTTTTAGAGAAAGACAGAGAGGAATAGAGAGAGAGAAATAGCAATGAGAGAGGAACATCAATCAGCTGCCTCCTACATGCCCCCTACTGGGGATCGAGCCTGCCATCTGACATGGAATCAAACTAGTGACTCTTGGTTCATGGGCTGACATTCAACCAGTGAGCCACACCAAGCAGGCTAAAATAGCCTTTAAACTTCCTAAACTTACCACTGCAAATTACAGTATAAATGATGATTGTCATGAGTACTGTGCCTATAACCAATAACTATGTGATCATGGGCCTTGTCTTAGTCTCAGAAAACTGTAAAGCCCAGCCTACTTGGCCTAAGAGTCTAACTTAAAGGTCTATGTTTTAAACCTTAATTTTAGATGTTCATGTCCAATCAACAAATTTGTTGAAAGCCTACAATCTATACTACCTAGTTCTTTTAAACTAGGGGTGTCGAACTCAATCAGAGAAGGGGCCAAAATCTAAAATCCAGCCTAAATCGCGGGCCGAATGGTTTACTGAACAGTCATAAACTGTCATTGTGATGGAAACGCAGCGGAGTGCAGTGATGATAGCGGGGTGTGGGCCACATTGCAAGGCCTGGCGGGACGGATTTGGCCCACGGGCCTTGGTTTTGACACATGTGTTTTAAACAGAACTGAACAAAAACACAAAAGTCATGGGAATGTTGGTTTTAGTTTATCTAACATCTCAAGGCAGTAAATTACCCGTTAAGGAAGGAGCCAAATAAAGTCCAAATTACTTTCTCAAGGTCTTACCACCAAGCACAATGGCAGTGCAGGGCCAGAGCTAAAAACACGCCACTATGGTTCAATGGTCTTCAAGAGAACAAGGTCTAACTGCCCTAACTCAGCAGACATGGGGAGGGGAGAGGGAGGAGGGAATTAAAGTGTTTTTAAAATTTGCAAATCCATGTTAGTTTAGAAAGCTGTTGTTGACAACCTGCCTCTCTACATTCCAGAGTTAAGTGACTCTGATACCTACAGGTCTCTAACTATTAATGTGCTCTTCGTTGTCAAGAAAAACTGTGCTCTTTTATTCAAGAGAGATCTGAATACTTACAACATGTTAGGCACAGATTGGATTTCTAAATGCAACATATGCTATTTTTAATGAAGAATTTCTAAAAAAGCAGGCATAAGCTTCCAGAGAAAAGTATCTTCTCTTTCATGTATTATTTAAAATTGATATGAGATCAGTTTCTTGCACCAACTATACTGCCTACAAAAGGAAAGCAAGGATCTCCATGAATCATTATTGGGAAATGTCTTGCAGCTGAATTATGTCCATTTAAACTGAACTTTGACAGACTCTTTCATTTGAAATGCTTAGTGATTAAGAGAACGATTAAGTTAATAACATTAACAAGGAAGAATGTATATAGGTGGCCACATATGCTGTACACCCTTCATAATTTTTTTGTCACTTTTTTGGACGAGAGATCAGTTTCTATACAATTCCAATAACTTCTAATTGTTTTTAAATAAAAAAGGTTTTAACTTGTGACTTATAAAGATATATTTCAATAAAATAAATTCAGTTTATAATAATATATGCACTTTTAATCCATTTCATCTTTCTGACTGTAGCATAGTATAGTAGAAACAAAAAAATCCAGGTTTGAATCCCAGTGCCAGTACTAGGCAAAAAAAAAAAAAACAAAAAACTTCATTTGTTGGAACCTGTTTGATCATCTAGAGTAGGGGTGTCGAACTCAATCAGAGAAGGGGCCAAAATCTAAAATCCAGCCTAAATCGCGGGCCGAATGGTTTACTGAACAGTCATAAACTGTCATTGTGATGGAAACGCAGCAGAGTGCAGTGATGACAGCGAGGTGCGGGCCACATTGCAAGGCCTGGCGGGACGGATTTGGCCCGTGGGCCTTGTGTTTGACACATGTGATCTAGAGATTATGTAAAATGGAGATAATAATGACTACTGGGCAGGGTGTGGAAAGGATTAAAGGTGCTGCATATAAATTCCTCACTTCAACAAATGCCATATATTATTATAACATCCCTGCAGATTGAATAAAATAAATCTTGAGCTTAGTGTCTGCATTTCTGTGCAGTTGTTTTTCTCAAAACCAAAGAGTGGTAGCATCCAGGATTCTACTAAAGAGCAACCTTAAGATTCTACTAGGGAGTAAAAAAAAAAAAGATTTATTTGCTTTAACTTGAGTTTAGTCCACAGCCCCATTGCCATTGAAACTGCAAACACGGCGATCTTACCAGCTTTGTACCAACTGAACCGATGGTGTCCTGAGAAGATTATCTGGGAGGAGACTTATTTCTTTCATTATATTTGCCAATCTAACAGGCAACTCTTGCCGCAGAAACATAAAGGAGGTCTTTTCACAAGCATTCACAGATCCTGAAAACAGACATGGTGGGAAGAGCAGTGAGTGGAAGCCATAAGGCAGCAGAGGCCGAGGCAGGGGGAAGCACAGAGGGAGTCACTGGGCCAGAAACTCCAGAGGCGTAGCATTACCCTAATGACAGGGTGAGGGAAGGGGCGAGGGAGGAGAGCCCAGTCTCCAGAGCATCCTGAATAAACCTTCCAGCTCCTGACATTCCAATTGCTCCGGAGAGCAAGGAAGAAACTCTCCTGTCTCCATTATTTGCATCCTTACTGTAACTTCCTGTCTTAGAACGAATGCAACCTGAGCAAGTCTGAGCAAGGTGAGGAGTCTAATTAACAGGACCTGCAAAGCCCATATAAACTGCTGCTGCCGTCACTTACAACACGTTTCCTACGTCTGGGTTTATGAGAAGTGAACATCTGTCAAAGAGACACAGAAAATGCTGTCAGGTGCACAGGAACCACTATACTAATTAGAGAAATCCTGCCATGTGCATGGGAACCACTATTCTAATCACTATAACCAAAGCGTAAGTGCAGAGAAGGGCTTTCGGGCAACAAAAAGCAAAAAATACCAATGCCTGTTCAGCAACCATCTCCCACCACCACCACCACCACCCCTCTCCACTCCCCAACCTCCATCCTATTCAATTGTCTAATTCCAGGAAAGCAGCCTGCTCCTCCCTCCACTCCTGCATCAGGATACTAAGCAGGCCCGTTGTAGAACGTCCTCTGGCTGGCAGTTCCATTTTAAGTGAAACTGAAAAGTCGGATCATTTCAGCAATGCATTTGGAAGTCGCTAATTTACTAGTAATCCTGCTATTTCAGCAAAAGACAACCTAAGCAAAAATTAGATCATCAGCAGCAGGAACGACGGTATTAAAGGAAGACATTTCCTTGTGAAAGTTGAAAGGTATACTTGTAAACAAGGCCACACTGACCCCTTAGTCACACTAGAGTCATTTTAACATAAAAACAAAAACTGAGGATGTGAGCCCCCAAAATTCGCCCTCTGTCAACCACAACTTTAAGACAAAGTTGCCAGCCATGCTGGTATCTTTCAAAAGCCCACTAGGGATCCGTCCATTACCTAACAGCACTCACAATGCAGAAGGTAACTGTCTACTTAACTGTTATGACTTCATACACTGAGTGTATCTGAGTTCTCCCCTTTCCCCTCAACACCCCATGTGAGAAGTCAAAGAGCCTCACTTTGCAATTCCTCTGGAATTTGCTGTATCCGTTTTAGAAAGAAGCACGCGCGCGCGCGCGCGCGCACACACACACACACACACACACACACACACACACACACAGCAGGAAGAGGAAGGTGGATGGATAGTCGCTTCCAGGGGGTGAACTGTCCATCTTGCACTCATGCACTGGACACGTGCTCAAGACCTGCTCGCTGCTGCTGAGATGAGCATGCCATTGGCGGAAACCCTGCAGCCGGTGACAAGGAAAACATTCCGGGAGACACTGGGCCAGCTATAACCTGCTTCCCCTGCCGTCAGGCAATTCTATGCAACCGTCATACCAAACTGGGCATCTCTCCTCGCTCTGCGGTGTCTGCCAGGACCCCCGGAGGTGCCTCCCCCAGAGCCCGGCGCGGCAGAGGCCCCGCCGCGGGGGAACCCGCACACGTGCGCCGCCGGGGCCTTTGGGTTTCCAACAATAACCACCACCAGGCACCCGCCCCGGGACGGCTCCGACCGGCGGGCCCAGCACCTGGGCATCCGGATCGGGCCCGAGAGAGGGAGGACGGAAGCACCGGGGGCGCCGGGGAGGGGGCGGGGGCGCAGGGGGGGACGGGACCAGGGCCCCGGGGAGGGGGCGGGGGCGCCGGCGGGACCGGACCAGGGCGCCGGGGAGGGGGCGGGGCGCAGGGGGGATGGGACCAGGGCCCCGGGGAGGGGGCGGGGGCGCCGGCGGGACCGGACCAGGGCGCCGGGGCCCCGGGGAGGGGGCTGGGCGCAGGGGGACCGGGGCGCCCGGGCGCCGGGGCCGCGCGCACAGGCCCGGGCCGGCCGGGGCCGCGCTCGCTCGCTCGCTCACCGAAGTCCAGGAACTGCTTCATGGAGAGCGGGGACGGCGAGAAGCGCGCGTAGAAGTCCACCTGGCCCGGGACGCCGCGCTCGGGCGCCGGGCCGGAGGCGGAGGCCGAGTCGGAGGCCAGGCTGCGGCGGGCGCGCGGGCCCGGGCCCCCGGCCGAGGCGGCTCCGCGCAGCAGCCGCGCCAGCCGCATGCCGAGCCGGAGCCGCCGCGCCGGGCCCTGCGCTGCGCTCGGGCGGCGGGACGTGCGGGACGTGGCGGCCGCGGGGCGGGGCTCTGCCGGCAACTGTCACCCGCGGCCGCGCCCCCCGCGCCGCCGGCCGGGTCCGGGAGGGAGGAGGGAGGAGGTAGAGAGGGGGGAAGAGGGAAGAGGAGGGTGGGGGAGGAGAGGGGCGCGGGGAGCGCGCGGGGCGGAGCCGGGGCGGGCGGCGGGGGGGCCGCTGGGCTCCTCGGCGTGGCGGGCCGGTCCCAGCGCCTCCGGGAGAGCCTGTGTGCACGGTGCGCCCCCTTCCCGCGCCCTTTGGGGACAGATCCCACCTTCCTGCCTCCCCTGCCTCGGCCCTAAGGCTCGGGGTCGGGCCCGCGGGGGGTCCTGAAACTCCCCTGCGATGCCAGCCCCACTTTGACAGGAGAGGAAACTGGGACCCAGAGAGGGTCGGGCACGGCCAGAGGAGTGGCCAGCGCCGGGGAGGGTGGCCCTAAATAGACCGGTGACTGCAGCCCCGAAGAACGGCACTGGCTGGCGGCCCGGAGCATTGTCTGTAGGCATCCCCGCACCGTCAGCGTGTGTTTAAAGGGTACCTGCACTCAGCTGCCCCTCTCTGTGCCTGCCATAGGGTCACCGTTGGGCTGCTCCACCTTTTCCAGATTTCTAAATATAAGTGACTAGAGACTGGACAGTTCCCCGTATTGGTTTAACCGCATAGACAGAGCTGCAAAGGATACAGTGAAAAGCACTGCTGTCCCTTCTCTCTGCTGCCTCTCCCCATTTATCCACCTGCATGGCTTTATGGTATCTTAGAGGCAACAAAATTGCCTTTCCATGGGTGTGAAATGTATCCATGTATATATATATATATGGAAATAAAAATTCAAAGTGAGAGGCAACAAGCGTTGGAGATCACACAAAAAAATAAATATTCTGGAAGCATTGATTCAGGCAGAAACCCAAACCGAGTTCTGATTGGGGAGTGAAGGCAGAGAGTTTATGAGAAGAAAAATGGGAAATACATGAGTAGAAGGAATTCGTATTGGTACTAATAAAGCTAAGTCATTTCAGGTACACATGGCTCTTCACTGATTACAAAGAATGGCTTTGATTAGCAGTTTTTGTCGGAAGCCTGTTTTCCTGTTAGCTTTACAAACAGTTGTTTGGAGAACAGAGCTACTCTGGCCCACGTTGAAGGTTCTTTTGCCCAGTTCAGACATTCCAAAGGTTTGAGGAGTAAGACAAAGCAGCTGTTATATGTATGGCCTAGAATAGCAGTAGTATGTATTTATGGCATAGAATGGCAATTCATTTCTCTATGGTTGGTCTTGGTGCCTCTAACCATTTTTTCTTTTTCAGATTTCTGTTAACATGGTAGTTAAGACTTTGATAAAAAAAAAAAAAATCCTTAGAGGAGGCAGTGTGAACACAAGACTTTGATAGGTAGGTAGAGAAAGTGATGAGGGAGGAGGAATTATCTCATTTATATGTTTGCTGCCTCACTAACCATATTCTGTAACTCCCCACTCTGGCCAGCTTTCATGCATTCTATGAATATTTGTTGAATGCTACTAACATGCTAAGTAATTACTAAGTAATGTTTTGTATCTACATAGTTGGGAATAAAGCCACATGCAATTCAGATAGGAATCCCTTCTGGATATGCCTGCTCTTACAAACATATACGACAGGGACCAACCTGGTAGAATTTTATACCATATCTTCCAATATTAGAGAGCCTTCTCTGTGAAAGAATGAGTTAGTTTGGTCTTAGTGATTCAGACAGCAGATGGAGAACTTGTGGGTGGAAACTTAGAAAGATAGATCTGACTCACATGGGAAAACATTCAATGGTTACCATCAATGGACTGTGAAATGGGCAGCTTCAGAGAGAGAAGGGGTTCTTGTCAATGACCATTAGCCTCTGGACAACAGTTCTGTAAGAACAGTGCAGAGAGGATTATGGGGAAGCAATATTGTACAATGAAAAGAACTTGGCTTCTGATTTTAGGTCCTGGCTCTGCCATGAAGTGGCTGTGTGACCTTGAATGTGTTACTTTGAGCCTTAGTCTCCTTACCTAAAAAGGCAGAATAGCCCTGGCCAGTGGTCTCAATGGTTAGAGCATCAGCCTGCTCAACAAAGGGTCACAGGTTCTATCCCTAGGCTCAGATGAGATGCCTGCAGGAGTCAACCACTCTCTCTCTCTCTCTCTCTCTCTCTCTCTCTCTCTCTCTCTCTCTCCTTCTACCATCTTGCCTCCCCTTTCCACTCTCTCTAAAAATCAATGGGAAAAAATATTCTTGGATGAGGATTAACAAAATAAATAAAAAATAAAAAGGAAGCACACTACCTGTCTCACAGGGTGACTGTGACCTAGATGGTATGGCTATGTGTGTTAGCACAATGCCCAGGGCATTTTAGAGCTACTTAATAAAGGGTGTCTATTTTTTATCATTATTGCTGTATGTTTTTTTAAATATGTTTTTGTTGATTTTTAGAGAGAGGAAGGGAGGCAGAGAGAAAGAAACATTGATTGGCTGCCTCGTTTATGCCTCCTACTGGGGGTTGAGCCCGTAACATGGTCATGTGCCCTGACTGGGAATCGCACTGGCCACCTCTTGGTACATGGGATGATGCTCAGTCAACTGAGTCACACCAGCCAGGATGCTGTATGTTTTTAAAATTATTTCCTTGTTAGGTTTTCCTTGTCAGAACTGCTCACATGTTTGGCCTGAAGCCAACTTTACCAAAGGTTTGGGAGAAAACGTGAAACTGACTATTAGACATCCTTAAATTCTTCCCTCAGCCATTCCCACAACTCTGTCCCAGCCTTCCTTCATGCTGCCTGCCTCTTTTCTCCTTTCCTTCCTTCCAGACCACTCCCTGAGCTCCACATGCTTCTCACACCGCGATGCACAGTATTATTCAACTCCCTCAACCTCTGTTTACATCTCTGAGCAACCCTGTTTGCTTTCCACCTGAACATGTCCAGGTGCTCAGCTAAACATTAACTTGTGTGGAAGCACAAAAGCCCAACAGAAACCTTGAATTTTATTTTATTCTAGGAGAATGAAGGTTATTCTCCTAGAAGCCGGTCCAACTGTTTTATAACATGCATTTCTTTTTCTCCAGAGTATATTCACAAACTCCAACCCAACATATAGAGAATGGGTATATAAGGACATATATAATATGGCATCTATTTATTTATTTATTTATTTTTAATATATTTTATTGATTTTTTACAGAGAGAAAGAGAGGGATAGAGAGCTAGAAACATCAATGAGAAACATGGACCAGCTGCCTCTTGCACACCCCCTACTGGGGATGTGCCCGCAACCAATGTACATGCCCTTGACCGGAATCAAACCTGGGACCTTTCAGTCCGCAGACAGAAGCTCTATCCGCTCAGCCAAACTGGTTTCGGCTATTTATTTATTTATTTATTTTTTATCAAAGCCTTAGGGCCCAGAAACTAGAGAGAACATTGGATTTTTTTTTTATTTTTTTTTCTTTCAGATATCTGTTAACATGGCGGCCGTTAAGACTTCTATAAAAGTGTCTTACAGGGAGCACTAGGACAAAACACCATAAGAGACATAGAGAAAGTAATCCAAGGGTGGTATCTCCTTTTTGGGGGAGGGTATCTCTTTTATATTATCTTTACTAAAGGGCTATGTTACATTTATATTTCATTATGTAGCTATAAAATATATGTTAAGACAATAAAAATCTTTATATGTAGCACTAGAGGCCCAGTGCAAGGAATTGGTGCACGGATAGGGCCCCTGGCAGCTGCTGGTTGCCAGTCAGGGCCTCTGGAGCCTCCCTTCCCAACTCCCAGTTGAAGGAACAATTTGCATATTAGGCTTTTATTATATAGGATACTTGGGACAGGTCCTCCTCGTTTAATGATAATTTATCATCCTTGTTGGGCTGCTTTGACTGAAGAATGGAAAACAAGCTAGCTGTGTCACCCTGAAACCATTACCTTCTGGCTGCATAGAGCTCAGAGTGAAACCAAGGGTCCTTGTAATTTTGATTAAGTTTAGTTTTAAATCATAGCTCTAGAAATCATCTCTTTCTCTTTTTCTATCTCTCCCCCAACCCCACCCCTTCTGAGACCTAGTCTTGACGTAAGTTGTGTTTCAGTTTCTGAGCCTTATTTGGAATGACCCTCTGCCTATTTTCCCATGAAACCAGAGGGCAGCTGGAAAAGACCTCCGAGCCGTCTTCCAGACCTGAAGAAATAATTCATTACCTCACGTCACCTCCCACCAGTCAGCTCCCATCACAACCCCGAACCCCGTAACCCATGGTGTCTTTGATTTTGCCCTATATACTCTTTAACCTACACACCATGGGAGAAGCCGGGCTTTTGAGCATTAGCTTCCCGTTCTCCTGGATGGCGCCACTTATAATAAAATAGCCAGTATTTCTCCACTGCAATTCTGCTTTTAGTGTTTGGCTCTGCTAGCGCCAGGTGAACAAACCTTCTGTTCTATAACTGGAGGACAAGAGGAGAAGAAAGTCATGATTTCTATTCCGCCGCTCCCTTCTTGCCAGGCCGTGATTTGTGCCCCTCTTCAGTGTGGCCACAGCTCCCTCCCTCTGACCAGCAAGCCTGTTTCCCTCTGTTGTTTATGGGGGTGGGTGCTTCACCATTCTTGCTGCCTACCTCTGTGACGAGTTCCTTTGACACATTATAATTAGCTAGTTATTAATAATAGGAAGTGGGAGGCCAGACATTATAGGCATTGCCATTTGGCAGCTTTACCAGAAAGCTGCACTTTCACACTCCCCGGGAACCGCGGGCTCATTTCCACAGATAACTGGGGGAGGAGACCCAACAAGAGGAGACAGATGCATGTCCAGTAAAGTTGGGTGACAGGGAAGATGTCTGTCAATCTAACCTCAGGAACGGTGGATTGCCTAGAGGAGATGAGCCACCACAAGCCTGTGAAAACGTGGGGATACATATTCCACACACAAACAGAAACAGTGCACTGTATTCCACTGAAGCAGCATTTCCCCCTGCAAACATTTGGCTT